AATTATATCGTTATTACATCTTACATAATAAAATATGAGGAATTTTAATTCTTTCGCAATTAAGTTAACATCACCGTTTTGAAAGCCTGAGAATGAGAACGCCATGGTCGCACCAGGAAGATTGCGTCTTTATTTTCTCATGCCCCTGGCAGATTTTTTTTATGAAAAGTTTTAAAGCGAGCCAGTGGTTGACCTGATGTTAAGTGAGTACCATGCTTGCCCATGGACATCCACAACATCCGATGGCTTGAAGATGTGTTGACAAACTTTAAGAAAGTGGATTCCGGTTACTTCTCACCAGACGAAACTCTAAGTTTAATACTTCCACTTTACGCCAGTCTTCTGATAGTCAGTTATAACTCTCTGAACGCGCCTGCCCATTCGTGCAACAGCAGAAGTTATTGCGTGGCCCTACTCCAGAAAAAGCGACAGAGATAGGACAAACGTGGGTTTTGAATGGGTCCTCTTTTTGACCAGGACTCCCAGGTACCCCTGTCACCCTAAATAAGAACGAAACAAAAAAAGATCGAGGTCACTCCGGAGTGCCATGATCCCTCATGCATTTGGTACACCTGGAGCGGGTGGAACGATTATTATGCGCGAAGCCGCCATTTTCGTGTGTGCTTTTTTATGGATAAAGGAGGCAAACAAACAAGCGGATCACCGGATAGTAAAAGATCTCCGCCGCCAAAGGACACTTACACGTAACATCCATTGAGTCGCAATTGCGTTGCCGGCCTTTAAGGTAGGAGTAGGCTCTCTTTTTGAAGGTCTCTAAGTCGTATCGGTCCGGAAATACCGCTGGCGACAAAACTTGTTGGTAATGTATGAGTGTATATAAATCCACCTGCATAGTTCCTAGGCCATAATTGTTTAGCAATAAAATATTAAAATGGATACTTTCATGTTCAAAATATTCTTAAAAACAACCTAAAACTGACTAAAATTATATTTTAAAAACACTTGGATACAAAAGTACATTATTTTTCTAACTGGTACAAAAAAATCAATTACGATGCTGTTCGGAGCCGTGGTAGCTAAATTGGACTCGTGAAAAATTCATTATGCTAGAGAAACTTGAATGGCCTTTAAATTCATTTTGCTTCTTGAATTAAATACTACAAGACTCCGATTGATATTGTATTAGATTACCGTATTGATACCGATGAGGTCATTAAATGCGATTAAAAATACTGATTTTTAACTACTGATGAACAAATTTACACTGATCTTCTGATAAGAATATGATACATTGTTTACTAACCGTAGGGCAAATTCATACGGGCCACAGCCCTTGTCACCTACAGTTCAGTTTACGTTCCATATTGTAGGTTCTGTACCGAGTAAAGCGTATGTTTTGTACATACACAGTAAAGTTTACGTCATATATTTAGCTATGTGTACAAATGCTGTAGATAATACAAATGCTGTAGCTCTTGATAGGAATGTATATAATACGGAACGTTCACTTTACTGTATATTTCCCATATTTTTAAAAATGGAGAACAATTTTTTTTTCTTCTGGCCAAAAACCATCACCAGTGTTCAGCTGCGTTAATCGTCGACGTTTATCGGTGACGGTACTGTATTATTGTTAAAATTAAAGTGGATAAAAATTTAATTTATGCAAAATATAATTATCAAGTAGTTTGTTTTCATTTCTCCCCGAACGTCACTCACAATAGCTGTCATCTCCAACCCCAAAATATCTGACAAGGGAAGACTCAACTTCGTTCAGCGCTCACAATAGACTTTTTCCTGTCACTCGGTTGACGTAAAAGCATGATTGATGATGCAGGTGTGATCCATTGTGGTCGGTCACGTAATATCTGAAGATAGAACTTTAAGTTATGTTGACTACTACATAACTCTTGTGTAGAGTAAAATGACAGCCGTTAAATGTCCCACTGCAGGCCAGCGGCCTCCTCTATACAGAGGGTATCAGGGCATAGTCCACCAGGCGGCCCCACTGCGGATTGGTGGACTTCACAACTACTTTCGAAATACATTTTTTTCGTTATTATTTCGATAATGTGCAGGTTTCCACACGTGTTTTCCTTTACCGTTTAGCACGTGATAAGAAAGCACTAAAAATTAAAAATTTCATTGGTGCTGGCACTGGGGATTGAACTCAGGTTGCTGGAGTATATTGAATTAAAAGCGAGCTCCCGGACAATGAGCTATCACTGCTATCACCATTTTATAATGAAAGTCATTGTAAATAGAAAGACACTTTTTCTGTTATACCTTAAAACTGACCAGCTATGTGAAAAACCAAAACAAATAAAGGATTTAAACGTTTTGCAATTAATCGAATATTAATAACTAAACTTATAAATAATTTTAAAGTTTGTTCTGCATACTCCATTTTAAGCGATTAGGTACATGTTAATCTTTTGGCAATTACTTTTTTCTTACTGTGTATTTTTCACAGGAGTTATGAAGTAATAATGGGAGAATGGATTTGGAAGCCTGTAATTAATGTAATACAATTGTTATTTGTTAAGGATAAACGAAACTTATTTAGAACGACGTCATTACATTTTTCTGCGAAAAACGAAGGGAAAGAAATTTAGGAAAATATTACTCTTATTGTGTTATAAACATTGGGGATCAGATCGCAGGTGTGAAACTGCGAATGAAATATTTATGAGACGTATTTTATCGTTCATGGCTGATTTTGCTTGTGATGGAGCACTTTCGAACTTCGCTATTATATGAGTTAACTTTTTCTTTTACGTGTTATTCCTCTCCGTAGTTAGTCAATTTATTAAAAATGGTATCTGGACCCATTGGTCCATCATTATGTTATATACAATAGATATGACACTAACAACGAAACTGAGTAAGTCTATAGACTGCTTTATCTTTTACGTTCTATATCATCTGTCACATTCACTTATATATGTCATACAACGTAATGCGGAACAATTTTTAAATGCCATGCAGTATGGACATGCGTCATTTGTATTATTAAACATCATTGATCTGGATGCTGTAGATTTCGTTATAGTTTTGTTTATTTAGATTTTTATTATTTCTTTTTATTTATTTATTTCTATTGAATTATAACTTCCTTTAAATTGTAAGGACCTTTCTGTAAAACAAAAACAAAATTTAAAATACAATTTAATTATATTTTACGACTCTGTGTGGTAATAAAATAATTACCTTCTAAATTGAAAATATGCTACAAACTCTACAATCGATGTATATTATTACAAAGACGTTTACAAAACTGTTCAAAAATAGTAGACTGTAAAAATTTTCAGTTTTTACTATATCTACTACTTTATAGTAATAGGGTTAAACACATTTTAATTAAAAATAATTAAAACGCACAGATTAATACTGGCAATAGTTTTTTTTTTTTATTATAAATTTAATTTTTTTTAAATACTATTATATAACCCTATTCTACAACCTTTATTACGTGTTATATATATGAGTATTTGTAGCCTGGTGTAACTGACACTTACTTGATGTTCACACAATGTCAAGGCCGTAGGGGACAACTAGTTCCCATACAGTAATATTTTCAACCGACATCAAAAGGAAAGGTTCTTAATTTGACTGTATGTTTTTTTTTATGTTTGTCACCTCAGAACTTTCGAATGGATGAACCGATTTTGATTATTTTTTTTATTTGAAAGCTGTTGCTTCCCATGTGGGCCCATATTAATTTAATTGGTATTGGATCTTGGACTCGGGAGATAATTAGGGAACTCCGGAAAATCAATTATATAATGTACACAGAGCGAGATATTTGAATCCGGTTTTGTTTAAAAAAATAACTTGTTTCGTACCGTATCCTATCTTTTGGCAGAGAATTCACGTCCGCGCGCTGTTATATAAATTACTAGGTCTGAATATTCAAGGCGTCGACTTCAAACAGCCTTACGCTTGCACAAACTCCATAGCTAGTGCTATCAAGTTGTCAGCTAGCTAATTAAGCCCCAAAACGTGACGGGCGGTGAACACGCCGCTGCAGACGTGACGCAAGTCGGGGCTTCTCAGGTAAGGTATTATAAAAATAGAGACTCGGAGATAAAATCCGAGGCTGCCAGTATACGTTTTATAGGGTGGCGCTAGCTCCACGTAAACAGTCATCTCTGTAACTAATAATCAATAAAAATAGTTACTTTCGAAAATTAGAATATTAGAAGAAATTTTGCGATTAACGTGTGTGTTGTGCTACAATTATTTAGCGAAAACGTTATCTTCAATAACTTCCACGTTAAATGTGAGAAAAAGTTTGTTGAAAAAGTTTTACTCAGTGGCAGTGAAAAGTGTATTGTTATTTTAAAAGATTCAACCACTAAGATATACTATCCTTTTATGAATAAAATATCGTACATCATTCAGTGTTAAAGTGGAAAACTGTGTTTTTATCAACAAATATATTTTCACTGTGGCTATAAGCCGTTGAAAGTTCAAACTTTTGCAATCAATTACGCTACCTACTAATAGAGGGTGCTGTACATGTACGATTTACCGCCATCTAGTAGGCAATAGAACAATCAAAAAATCAATTATATCAGCGACAGAGGGCAGTACTCGAGAATAAAAACAATGTCGAAATCTTCACCAAGAAATTGTGCGGGATGTGCAAAACTACTTCCAAAAAATGAATATTTGCAGTGTTCTGTCTGTAAATCGTCATACGACTTGGAATGCTTGAATATGACCAGCAGACGTTTTAATTCATTTTACGCGTCAAATAACACCAATAAATCTGCATGGAAATGCCCTGCATGTCTGAGTAAGCAGCCTAAAAAAGGAAACGTAAATACACCGATACGGCAGACTGTACTCTGCAATGATGAAACCTCTGATTGTTATCCCCAAACTCCATGCATTAGCACTCAAAACGTGACCCAACGTTCGGCATTAAATAAAGAATGTACTTATGATGAACTGACTTTGGGGAGAAGCGAGCGAGGCTGCCTCGTCTGAGATTGCGCTATTTATGAGTGAAATACGAGCCGCAAAGGGAGGAAATGAACACGTTCCGTGCAACCTTATCAGACCTCGTTGCTACAATCAAAGCACAAAATACGCGATTAGACAGCCTGGAGACAAGAATAGATTCTCTTGAAGAAAAAGTGAAAGAATCTAAAACCCAGGACTTTCAAGCGATGCAGGATACTATTTTGCGGCTACAACTTGAGATACAGGAACGTGATCAAGAAGCCCTGGCGAATGATATAGAGATTTCAAATCTCCCTGAATCGACAAATGAGAATGCCATCCACATCCTTCTCACTGTAGCGAAAAAACTAGGAGTAGATCTGGACGAGCGGGACGTGGTGCATGTGGAGCGTGCGGGACCAGTGCACGCACACTTAGAGGGCAAAACGTCGCCACGCCCGCGTGCGCTTGTCGCCCGCTTATCTAGACGCGCACTGCGGGATTCACTGCTGCGGGCAGCACGCGTTCGTCGTGGTCTTACAACGGAGGGAATTACTTCTATAGGTGTCGCTCGCCCCCTCTATATAAATGAGCGCCTTACGAAATTTAATCGGCAATTGTTCTGGAAGGTACGAGAAATTACAAATAATCGAAACTGGAAGTATGTCTGGACGAGAGAAGGCAGAATATATGTAAGACGGGAGCAAGTCTTTTATATATATCAGTGCAATTTTATGGTTAAAAATTCCTTAAAAACTGTTTTCACTAAAACTTCCTCAAATTATTGTTTGCAATGTTTTTTAATTATTTATAGGCAGCTTCACGGTATTATACATAAAACCTCATTTAAACATATCTGTTACCGATTTCACTTTGATTCTGTTTTAATGCATTTAACTAATATAAGTTTCTTTTTGTTTCATAACTTTTTGTCCATGTACCTTTCAACAAGATTCCCAGTGTTTGATCTTTTTAATAATTGCTTTATATATAGGTTACTAATTCTACAACAGTTGACTAATATTACTTTATTTTACCTTTTTAATGCTTATCCTATAACAAATGCAAAATATGTCAATAAGAGCTGTGTTTATTATTGTGTTTGTTATTTAATACCTTTTGTGTCTATGATATTGTTATATTTCAATTGTGTTACTTATAACATGACTATATTCCGTTACTGTTTAGAGAATAAAATGTATCAGGCACCGTTAAACGTTTATACTTCTGTTAGAGACAACTTTAATGTAGATCAACAACATCTGTTTTTGCTTAAAAAGTATCTTATGTGTTGCAAGTATATACAACTATCATACAGTTTTGTGATACGGTTTGTTAAATTTAAAAATCTAACATTTGGTTTTATAAATCCGGGTTCCCTTTGTAATTGTCACGAAGAGTTTTTAATTGTCATGGAGCGGCACGGGGCGGACGTTGTAGCCATCAACGAGACCTGGCTGCGGGAGGGCGAAGAGAGGCGCGCTCCTGTTCCTCCTGGATATCGACTGCGGCACGTGCCACGTCCTCCTGGCAAACGTTCACGCGGTGGTGGCGTTGGATTTTACCTTAAGCGCGGAATATACGCGCGCCAACTTGTACCCCCACCTCCAGCCGTAGTCGAGCAAATGTGGCTCAGTATTACTTTAAATGGAAATAAGCTTGCTGTTGGTACTGCTTATCGGCCACCGTGGTTAAACTTAGACACTTTCATCGATAGTCTATCAGAAACACTAAGCTCTTTCTCGTCACATGATCATGTGGTGTTAATGGGCGACTTTAATGTCAATCTGCTAAAACCCTATGAAAGTAATGCCAAAAAAATCTTAGATTTTCTTCATAGCATGAGTCTAAAACAGTACGTTACCGAGCCAACTCACTTTACTGATCACTCCGAAACTATGTTGGACTTAATTTGCAGTAGCATTAAGGTTACAAAGGTCTCAGTTAATTTAGTCCAAGACCTTAGCAGTCATGCGTTTATTTCGTTTGAACTTAATATAAAGAAACCAAAACCAACACGTCGTTGGCTAACATACAGACCGATTAAGGACATTAATTTGCAAAATTTTAATAATGACGTAAACAGTATACCATGCGAGAGACTACTCAGCGAAGACGTTAATGATTCTCTTGCAGCTTTCAACTCATGTCTTAACAAACTTTTTGACATTCATGCACCCGTAAAAACATCATATATTAAAGAGCAAAGCTACCCGTGGATTACAGAAACCGTAAAAGATATGGTGAGATTGAGAGATGAAGCACATGCTAAAAGTCGTCGCACGAAATTGGATTGTCATAAAAAATACTATAAAGATTTGAGAAAAAACCGCATACTTCCAACATTTTATAAACCGTAATATAAAAGATTCACGAGCCCTATGGAGAAATTTAAAAAAAAACTGTTGTTGATTTTAAAAAGAAACAAACAGACTTACCGGAAAATTTATGTAATCCTGACCTTATTGACAACTATTTTCTTAATATTCCTGGTACGACTGATAGCAATCCATCTGTATTATCACGTTTTTATTCAAATCGTTTCAACAACTCGGTTTTTAGCTTGAGACCAGTCGACGAGGAAACTGTTTTTAAAATTATTAAAAATATTACGACAAACGCTCAGGGTGTAGATGGTATATCACTGAATATGATTCTTTTAACTCTACCTCGAACAATAAGTATATTGACTTCTATACTTAATTTGTCGATTAGAACTGGTAAATTCCCGGACTTATGGAAAGAAGCTATAATTAAACCTATTCCCAAAATTAATCATCCAACAGAGTTAAAAGATCTACGACCAATAAGCATACTACCAATACTGTCAAAGATTTTGGAAAGGGTTGTATGTTTGCAGATGACTGACTACCTACATTCTAATAACATCTTACCAGAAAAACAATCGGGATTTCGAGCTGGACGAAGTACCGCAACAGCACTTTTGCACGTAGTTGATGATGATGTTTTATCCGAACAGGATGTTGGAAAGGGTACAGTTTTGGTGCTACTTGATTATTCACGTGCATTTGATACAATCAACACGTCCTTACTCATAACAAAACTTGTTTATTATGGATTTGATCAAGTAGCAATTAAGTGGTTTTCAAGTTACTTGACTGGCCGTACTCAAAAGGTTGAAATCACTCATATAGACGGTTCCAAAAAGTACTCAAGTGTTTCACCAATAAATCGAGGAGTTCCACAAGGATCTATACTCGGGCCAATCCTTTTTATTTTATATACAGCTGACCTACCGAAATATATTTTGAATTGTGAGCATCATTTATATGCTGATGACCTACAAATCTATAAGCCTTTGATGCCTAGTTAAGTAGGGACAACTGTTACTCAAATTAACGAAGATCTTAACCGAATAGCTGAGTGGTCGGAAGCTAACAGTCTTGTTCTGAATCCTACAAAGACAAAGTTTATTGTTTTAGGTACCAAAGCACAAGTAAACCAAATAACTGCTCTTAAACCACAGATAAAAGTAAGAAATGACAAAATTGAACAAGTTCAAGAAGTTCGAAATTTAGGTGTACTACTTGACAGTCATTTAAGATTTGAAAGTCATGTTATAAATATAGTCCAACAATGTTATTATAGGCTAAAAGTGCTGTACCAAATACGTCAATTCCTGGATATAGACTTGCGGATTCATCTCTGCGAATCTCTAATACTATCAAAATTAAATTACGCAGATACAGTCATCGCTGGGTGCTTACTAGAGCGTACAAAAAAACATATTCAGCGAGTTCAAAATTCCTGTGCTCGTTTTTGCTTTCCAATTCCACGCCGGTCTCATATAACACCATACCTTAATCGAAGCGACATGTTGAATATGCGGTCAAGGCGAGCACTACATTTTGCTTCCTTAATTTTCGGGGTAATAAATAAACAAAGTCCATCATATCTCTATGGCAAGTTAAAATTTACACAACGCCAATCACGACTTTGTGACCGTCTTATATGCCCTGTTTTTAGTACTGCGGCTTTCCGTGGAAGCTTTCGATACTCCGCCACAAAGTGTTGGAATAACATCCCACCACCTATTAGAAACTCTTCGTCTTTACATATCTTTAAAGCAAAATACAAAAAGTTTCTACTTCATTTGCAAAAGACGGAGTAAAACTGATCAGATCGCTGTCTGCATATATTATAATATATTATATATATAAAGTTGCACCCAGACAACTCAGCTCTCATAGGTATATAGGCACTCGTATTGTGTTGAGGACATGTTATAGTTTTTGTTAATAATTTTTTTTTTTTTGTTATACTTTATTTTTGATTTTATTGTTCCTAACTTTTATATTCCTTTTTTATTGTTTTTAGTCTATTTCATTTTTTATTTTTGTTGGCTGTATGCATGGAGCTGAACGCCAATCTTACAAGGTATCCGCAGAAAACCAGTGCCGTGGTATTGTTTGCCAGGGCAATATACTGAGCGGAGACCTTTTTGGTGCATACATTTTTACAATTATAATGTTATTTCTTTTTTTTTTTTTTCCTGTAATGTAATGCGCCGAATAAATATTTCTTCTTTCTTCTTTCTTTCTTTCTTCTTTATACGAAAGTTACCTATGAAACCATCCGAATACTATCGCTAATAGAAGCTATGGCTGTGGCTACTAGATTTCTCTTCTATATTTTTCCTCTATATTACATTACTAGCTTCTGCCCGCGACTACGTCTGCGTCGAATAGGCTGAAGGCGTAACATTCAGACAGAAAGAAAGATATACATAAAATCTCTATATAAATTATAGCCTATGTCTTATCCTGATGTATAAGGTATATTACTGTAAAGTTTCATTAAAATCCATTCAGTAGTATTTGTGTGAAAGAGTAACAAACATCCATCCATACATACTTTCGCCTTTATAATATTAGTAAGGGTATATATATATATATATATATATATATATATATAGTAAGGACTCTAAAAATAATATGTACCTTCCACTTTTCCGGCGGTGATATTATTTAGATATTACTATTATTAGATAAATTTATGATTGACTAATTGAAGTTCTGTTGTAACTGAGAACTAATAAAAAAAACTAATATTTAATGAAACTAATATGAAAATACCCAAAGGGTAAAACGGGACCCGATTACTAAGACTCCGCTGTCTGTCTGTCTGTACGTCTGTCAACAGGCTGTATCTCATGAACCGCAATAGTAGGAGGGTTGATTTGCACAGATTTACATATTAGACAATTTTCACAGATGATGTATTTCTGGTGCCGCTATGACAACAAATACTACAAAACATGTGGCACTCGGGTACTGCCGCGGTAAAGCTATTGCATAGCATTTTTTATCAACTTATACAATATTTTCTTTCTTTGATATCAATTCAAGTTACACTTTTTGAGCGCGGTGACCGATAAGAAAACAACTTTTTTTTCTTTTATTGAATAAATGAGAAGTTAACATTTGATATCCTCTAAATATCATATTATAATATCCATCCGTGCGAGCTTCGTACAATCGTACCATATACATACACGTTAAGCGAACACTCGGCCGAGCTAAATGGTAGCGGAGTGGGGTTAGGTTTTATTTTCGTTACGGAATTTCTTGATTCCGTCGCCGCGCTCAAGGCCCGCTATAAAAGCTATGCAATAGCTTAAAAACAAAACAAAAAAATATTTAAGTGAAAAAAGTCAGTAAAAAATCATGTCTGTTTAGGGGGGGCAGCCTACAATATATACAAAAGACATGATTTTTTCCGTTTTTATAGATAACGGTACGGAACCCGTCATGCGCGAGTCCGACTCACACTTGGCCGGTTTTCATTTAAACTAGGTATGTAATTTGTACATAAAAATATTAAAAAAAAAATTGTTATAAAAGTAATGGATATAAGCTATTTATGGAATTAAAATACAAAACTTGAACCTTGTGTTTTACGAATAGCGTAACAGTCAGCATTTGGCCTATTGTGGAGCGTAATAAAACGACAGATGTGCATTAAAATGCACGCAAAATACGTGCAGCGTTCCAGTTT